GCCAATTCTTGTAAATTATTACCAATTTGAGGGAGTTGTGGAAATGGAGAGTGATTTATAAGAGATTACAAGAGGTAATGCTAAGAACTGTTAAGGCCCACCCACATTAGATCCGTTTGCGTTGCGTTGACGTAAATTTGACAGTTAGACAATAGATTTAGCTGTCACTTTGCCGCAACGCGTCCGATCCGGATCTAATGCGTGTGGGCCTTTAGAATTTTACTGGAAAAGTTTATATATTTTCAAGATTATTTTAGGGGAGTATAGAAAAAAAATTGATAGAATTCTAGGATGATTCTAATTGAACTAAAAAGAAGGCGAAGATATCCTGTAAAGATTTCCAAGTAAATTCAGACTAACAAAAAAAAATCATGATCTGGGACGCAGGAAGTTCTTGAGACTTCAAAAATGAAGCTATCAGACTTTTATTTTAGTAATATAATAAAATTATTCTTTAGCATAATGGTCATGCGAAGAGTGGAATGGAGTGGAGGTAAACTGTGTGTGAGTTCCACGATGTTAGGCTTTGATTCCCACTTCAGCCCGGTGAGTTTTGCTTAAAAATAAAATTGCCTACTGGTCTGCTGGGTGTTGTGTGTTGTATGATGTCAAGAATTAAATTGTAAATCTGATCAACCTCAGAGTAATAAGAGAATTATTTAGAACTAATGAAATCATTAAATTATGGTACTGCATCAAATAGTAAGGACTACATCGACTATTAGTTCAAAAAATCCATCCCATCAAATTTCCTTGATTTTTTTCTTTTCATTCTTTTTAAAACTTTTACCGTTTAAAAAACAATTCTAACCATATTTTTTGCTGGTTTTTACCCACATTCAGCTCAATTTATTAAATGCTGCGTTATGGATATTTGAACTTTTTGGGTACACCGTGTCAATACTTTTGAACTTTTGCCAACAAGTTATTTGCTTTATATTATTTCATGTAATTTATAACCATTCTAGTACTTTAAATAAACTCCAGATGATCATACTAACCTATTTATACGGGAGTTTGGCAAATCACTTTGATTTCAATAGCATTATGTTAAAAAGAGGATTTTTTGGAGCATTCCAGATTTTTCCAGATTTTATATTTTACCTGGTCCAGATTTTTCTGAAAATAACCTGGCAACGCTGCAAGTGTGCTGCAGGTGTGCCGATTGTACCGGTCATAGAGCAAGCTGCGATAGATTGTAAAATACCCATCCCGGCAAACCCGGTATTTCTGACACCTTGAATTTTTTGGTTTGAAATCGCAAGGATAAATCGGATTGATGATGACGCTGGAAGTGGCGGGTGTTGGTGTTTTATGTTCATAGGATAATAAAAGTCCTATGTATTAGCGTTTTATAATGGCCTCAAAGGCAGACCAGAAACCTAACCTATCGTGCTGTGAAAAACAACGGTCTATCAGCGGCCGGAATGAGATGGAACCAGTGGGGAACATTGTTTTTTTTCCTTGATTTGTTTTCCGTCGCTCTTGTTTTCCGTGCTGAGCACCAATGCTACCGACACCAGGGAGGCAGCTCCCACACCTGGACCCTATCTATCGACTCATCAACTCATGAACCGGGGACCAACGGCTTTCCTTCCCTTCCGAAGGAAGACGTGATCAGATGTTATGCCTCAGAACATCCCGGCGGCGCTGACTGGGATTGAACCGAGACCTGCTGGGGTGAGAGGTAATCACGCTTACCACTACACCACCGGCGCCGCTTGGGGAACATTGTTGGAGACTGACTATAGAGGATGATGAATATGACTTCTGTAGTTTGTTGTCTGTGAGTTGCAGCATTACTTGAATAAGGGTGCTAATGGGGTTTGATTAACTGCCTCTTTCTCTTGAGCCCACTATAGAACCTACATTTCGTATTTATATCTATAAGTGAACCGAGAAGTGAACTGCTGGTCTGAGTTCCTCTGGTATATTCAATTAGAGGATGTTCCTGAATATACAGTCAAACAACACGTAATGTTGTGAACAACTTCAATGACAGTTATCCAGCAGTGCTCCCATTTAATTTACAACAACTTAATGCCTACGATAATGTGCCGAAGGTATGCCGATGGATGTGCCGAATCTAATTTTGGCACGATGTGCTGAGTGACTTACCCCTAATTGGCTCTAATCCCATATGGTACGTGTTTTCGTTAACTGACATAATCCCATGCCATTAAAACTTCCTCAAAGTACCAAGGCTGTAAAATGCGTGTCGATTCATAGTTGACATGGCTGGTTATGATTCAGCCACCAATCGAAAGATATGGCTATCTAATTTTATTTTGAATAAAGAAAAAAACCAATTAGACCGATGGTTGGCCAGCCGGAACGGAAAAACCCGGAAAAGTCCCAAACAAAATACGTGTCGATTCATGTTGACATGACTGGTTCTAGGCAATTTGCTTAGCACATCTTAAGATTGAGTCACTACTTGAATGGTATGCCTATCTACTTTCAAACGGAACAGACAAGGCACCGATTGGAGTTGTGGGTGGTCAATCGTAACGATAAAACCGGGAAAATGGTCAATCCCTGAAAGTAAACCTACACAACAAAAAATTATGCATTTTAATGGTGATGTAAATATCCATGCATGCTAAAATTGAAGCATGTAAACTTCCTTATCACGTAAACTAGCAACTTGCAAGAAATATTGCTTACAAAGATGGATGGTTGCATACAATATTTAGAATATTTCATTAAATTACTCATAAATTTACACGATTTGTAATGTGAATTTGTATGATATGTGAGGCTCCATTTATGTGTATTATAGTGGCAGAAATTTACGCTACTTTTTCGAACTGTGTAGAGATCTGCAACTTTTTCTAAATTGCATACAATCATGAGCATAGAGGAAATATACCATCACCATATCGATTTTGCAAGCAAGTGGCCAGAAAATGGTCCTCTGAATATCCGGAATCACCGGGAAACTAGTCAATTCCAGAAAGTAGACGTAGAGATCCACGATTTTTTCTAACTTGCTTAGAGGAAATACGACAAAGACGTAGTCCTACGTCCATACACAAAAAGGTAGAAGATGGCTGCAATGAGTTTCGAACCCTGGTCGAATGCGTGACTGTCTCAAGTGCTGACGGCGTTCAGTGATGAAAATAACTCTACAGCGGAGCGAGTCCATTGAATTTGGAAGAGGGTGATTATTGTTGTTGTTAAATAACTCAGACATCATTTTGATTATATGGGCTGTTTTCATGCTATGATATATTGAAAAATATCGAACACGCCATTTTGAAAAATTAGGCGTGAGTCAAAATGGCCGAATTCCATAACAAACTTGAATCATTGCCACTAGCGAAAGCAAAGCTTCATGGAATTCTGACAGCTCAAATCTAAAATTTGTTTATATTTTCGCTATTTGGCTTGGAACTGCTCAGTAGGCGGTTGGCCTAAGGTTTTCTCTTCCAGTGATGGGGCTTCCGGAGATAAGCATTTAATATTCAGCCGCTGAATGCCAGCCAGTCTCTATGCAAGCCGCACCTCCATGGTATTTCAGTTGGTGGTGTGCATCCATTAGGACTTAACCCGTCTGGTGTCAGGATATTTAACCCATAAAGTATTTGCAGTAAATTTGGAGTTGACTTCATTGACTCTAGACTGAGTTCAAAAGGCATTTGAAGGTAATGGATGCCCCATAGAACACTGTGCACTATGGTGGGTCAAGTTTGTATGGTGGATCACCACTCCCTTTTCCCCACTGCTCTTCCGATGCGTATTGAGGTCCACAACAACGGTGTCAAATTTGAACGAATTTGGTTATGATCTAGATTTGCGGAAGAACTTTAAATTTTGTATGGGAAACGTCAGTGCTGTTCTTAATGGTGACATCTATCGGAAATTTCGCTTACACTTAGTTCGATTCATTGTTAACAGAGGGCATTTATACAGGGGTATATATGAGCTTGTAGGTACGTGTAGAACACCTGGTATAAAGTGAAAGTTTAGTAACTTTTTGTACAAAGATCAAATCGATTTGCACAAAGTTGTTTTGTATAGTATTCTAATCTATGTCCGAGGTTTGGTGAAATTTAAGCATTATTCGTTCCGTTTCCCATACATTTTCCAACACAAAATTTAAAATCCTCCCGTAAATCGAGCAACCCTAAACAGCAGTGAAGAACAGAGGGTTGTAAAGTTGATCCACCCTACCGTGAACACCTGTTCAATGGAAATGGCAAATAAAGTACTCATCGAAAACCGTCGGCTAAAGTGATAGATCCCACCATTTCCTTCAATTGGAACAGCTGTTTTGCAATAACTCCTTACGATCCGTTATTTTCTCTCAAAGGTTCAGCTTGTTAACCATTACCGATCTATTGGCTTATAAATTAAGTGCGCTATCAAATGCAACATGTTTATCATTATCCCACTTATCGCAGGTGCTTTTTCACTCAATTGAAACAATATAAAAATAAAATACTCACGGAGAATGAGCTGGGGAAAGAAAACCACCGAACACGATTTCAAGCTGAACATTGCATTAGGTCCTAAGTAACATTGACAGATTCTCTTCCTCGATTTTCTCTTTGTATTCCCATGACCATGTAAAGACATTCCCAGGTATTTTCAGCACACAGCATCAGTAAAAGAAGCTTTTATCTAGCATCTAATGGTTATGTGCTCAAGTTATTAACGAAAGAGAAAGTCGACGAAGAGAATCGATCAATGTTACTTAGGACCTAATGCAATGTTCAGCTTGATTTGTTTTTTTTTTGTTGTGCTATATGATGAAGAACACATCAAAGCCATTTTCTTGTGTTACGTGAGCCAGGAAAACCATCCAATAATAATGGATGATTTCCTGGGGCGCGGGCGTGCGCGTGTGGCTTTCAATTATGACCATAATGGAAATTGACGAGCGAATGCACGTTGTGCGAAAGTTTTCCAAATGCTTTAGAATGTTTCGCGATAATCGTAAATTGCGAATCTACTAGTTGTCAAAATTTCCCACAGGCTGCCAACGGTTTACTCACCCATCATTTCAAGCTTCTTCGTCTCGAGGATGTCCTCCCAGTTGGACAGCATCCGGCCGGCTTGCTGTCGTATGCATTGCATGGGGTTCGGTCGGACCATGCACATTACGCTTTCCAAGATTGCAGACGAATCGACTGATGCTGGAGGAAGGGAGAAGAAGAAGAAACGAAAACACAAACCATTAATATGAATCATCGTCGCACATTAATCGGTGGAATTGAGGGTGGTATTGATCACATTAGAAGCGATTAGCGAGGTGGGGCGGCAGTCGCGCATGGTAGATCCGAAGATGAGTGGGGAAAAAGGCTATCGTTTGATGCAATGAACGAACGCGGTCCAGCGAGCTGTGGAGGGCTGGATGTGTTACTTAGCGCTTGCGATTGATGAAGCAGAGCCTCCAGAGAGTACCTACCCGAGCAAAGTCTGAGATCAAATTGAAATCTAAATTTGATGATTTGATTTCGCTGATAATGATTACTCAGGTTGCTGTCGTTTTGGTCGTTTAAACGGTTGAAATATCAAAATTGAGAGCAAAACAATCTTCCTGTGGCATCACCTTGAAAATTATATCTGCTATCAGTGACAGCAAACTGAAGAATCAATTTGATGTACATTTTTCCCGAAGATAACAGAACGTGTTTTTAGTTTGATGTTCTGCTAATGCAATGAAAACGATATATTTGACAATCGCGCAAACTGAAATCAAATTATGATTTCAGTTTGATATTTATAACAAAATTTGGTTTAAATTTGCTTTCATTTTGATGTTGGACTTTGCTCGGGTACCTAGACTCAGTCGGTGTTTAGTCTTGTGCGCTTTCTTACCGAGACTAGGCATGCTAGAAGAAGCGTTGGTTTTGAGCGTTTGATTATAATTTGTGGGGAAGAAAGTTTGTTTTTCTTAGATTAAATCATGTTTCACGCTTGTCAGCGTCTGGAACGGTGCAGCTAATGTTAGTCAAACACAATTATAAATGTTAAATGTCAGCATTTATGCAGTTGTTTTCTCGGGAGATTTAACGCACATCATTCAGGCATGACAATGATCTTCGAGGGTTAATGAATGAAGCTTGGATTAAAGTGAAAGGATCTGTGACTCAGCATAGTAACTCTAAGGTTCACACCAAAAATATTGCATGGCGTAATTCGAGAATTAACTTAATTTGACGTTTCACAAGACGCACACAAAAGAAGTGGTCATATTATAGCAACTTTCCATCCTCAAAATATTACTTCTTGACAAAGAATTTTACAAGAGTGTACTCAAATCTATGCGAACACACTTTTTTTTCGGTGTGGAAGGACTTAAAATTACACGAACGAACGCTGGGCAACGCAACTAAAACTTCAACGTCGTCGGTCGTGACTTAAACGTTCTAAATCTATAGCATGTTTATTTAAATAAATGTTTGTTTGATGCCGTGCCGATGTGTATACGTATTTAAATATGAAATCGGAAGTTTCAACACTACTGTTTGTATTACTTGTATTTTTGGACTACTGAATTCAATCGCTACATGTGAAAAGAGTCAATGACAATGAACGTCGATTTTTCAAGGATTAAATGTAAGTATCACATAATCTTGCAGAATTGATCCGACGCCTACGAATATAATGGAGATAGTTAGATAAAAACACGAAGGATCCACGATCAGATTCAAAATGGAAGTAATGCGGTATAATCGAGGAGCTCTACTAGTGAGATTGATAGCAAGAGATGGACACTGTTTATTTTCATCGATAGTGAACCAACTTCATCATACAGAGGTGCATTCGGAGCAACATTATGAGATGGTTTGGCAACTCAGACGGGAAGTTGTGACTCACATCCGGAGTCACATTCATACATATTCAGACAACCTGATATCCTATCTTATGGATCCTGAAATACGCACTCCTGGTAATACATTGGAAGAGAAAACCCAACTGTTCTTGCAAAGGCTCGAAACCTCAGCAGAATGGGGCGGTGAGGAAACGATTTCAGTGGTATCCATAATCTATGGAAGGAGAGTCGACGTGTTCAACGAAAATGGACCAATTACAAAATTTAACGAGAATGGAACAGTCAATGGAGTTATACGCCTTGCATACCGGATTACTGCTCATACTAGAGAAAGTTGCAGCAGGAATCACTACGATAGTATTATCCAAAATGTACAATTACGAAATAATAGATCCCAAGAGGTAACAGAACAGACACCCAATGAACGAGGTTATCAGGCCCCGAACAGCGAAATCGAAATATGGCAGCGGAACCCAAGGATTGATGCATCACAAATAAGTAACAGGTCATACGAACATACGACAATTAATACGACAATGACAGGAAACCCAAACCAAAAATACAGAATAGCAACATGGAACGTCAGAGGATGCTCAAATGACAGGAAACGAGACGAATTAGACATTGCTCTTAACGAACAACAGATCACATTAGCCGCTATACAAGGGTCGCGTATGCCTGGATGCACGTTCGAGACACGACATTATGTGTGGTACAATGTTAACGATGACGATAGAATTCGCCAACGAGACGAGGAGGGACTGCTATTGTCGTTCATAAATCTATACATAAGCCGAATAAATTCAAAAAGATAAGTTCGAACTCGTGCTCGTATCTTAGTGACTTCGCTGGAGAAAATATTATATTTATATCCACTTATGCTAGACCGGTGACCAAGGAGGATAATGGAGAATTTTCTGTGTTGATTAGATATGTTTTAGGTCTTTCAAACCACCTACAAAACAGAATCGCAATGCTCGGCGATTTCAATGCCCACCTAGGAGTAGAAGACCTAACGGATAGCGATAGACGCTACATAGGACACAACCTACTACATCGGCAGTCAAATGTAAACGGACTGGAATTGAAGAATCTAATTCACTGCCTTAAACTCAAGGATTACCTCACATTCGCCAAGTTAAAATCCGTCAGAGTTACATGGAGTAACCGGAAGAGTGAATCTCAAATCGACCATATACTACTAAGCGTAATGTCCTTTTTATGCAATCCTGATATCAAAGCGTTCCTGCATCCAGCATCAATCAGCGATCATAAAATGGTGATAGGAATAATTAAACGCAAAAGAAATACAGAAAGTGTAACAATTTCACAAGAAGGTCCAGCCATTCATCCAACGAAGCGGGCTAAACTAGATCTAGGACTACTATATAATGACGAAACCATAAAGGAAAGATAACAGGTAACATTAGATAGAAACCTAGCTCGCATCCCTGGTAATGCCAGCATATGTGAAAAATGGGAAAAGATAGCTACGGCTATGACTACAGCAGCACAATCTCACTTGAGTTGTCCCACATCTCCTATGACTCCAAGGCGTGAGAAAGCTTATAAACGGTACGATCAAATTCATCACAAACTTATTTTGGATCGGTCGAACCCAGTTTTGAAGAAAAGCTGCGCGGAAGCCAGACGCGATAAAGCAAATGCTTTTAAACAACATTTCGAAGACAAAATCAACAGGTTTCTTGAAGAAACAGAACATGATAATGGATTAGATAAAATGGTGAAAACATTCAGGTTTATCAAAGCACACAGAAGGAATAATGGAAGCAAGCGTGGGAAATTTATCCATATTAGAGACTGGGAGATGAGGCTACGAGAACAAGGAGCGGGACAGATATTCAGCTAACTGATGAAACTGACGAGCGCTCTCCGGGACCAGACCCTACAAAGAACGAGGTGATAAGAATAATAATAGAAATGCGTAACAATTCCGCACCTGGCCTGGATGGAATAGCAGTTGAATTGCTGAAACACGGATCTGAAAACCTACTGGATCAATTAGTGGAACTACTAGTCGACGTTTTTCGGAGCAACGAAGTCCCGGTGTCATGGGCAACAACAATACAGATACCAATCCCAAAAATACCCAGCCCACAATCGACAAATGACTACAGGCGAATTACATTATGCTCAGTAGCATATAAACTGTATGCAAAAATATTGCTGAACAGACTACAACAGCAACTTCCGCAGATTCCCGATTACCAGATGGCCTTCATGCGAAAAAGAAGCGCTACGGACCAGATTTTTGTTCTTCGACGGATACCGGATGAAAAATGGCGTAAAGGCAAACCCGTCATTATAGTATCTGTGGACCTTCGGCAAGCATTTGATAAAATCGATGTGTCAAAGCTTTCCCCAATATTGCGGGAAATGGGCGTGTCCGATTCATTGGTTAACAGGATTCTTAAGGCGTGTTTGAGTGAAGAGACATCCTTGCAGTGGTATGGCCAACTCACGCAAATAACACGAAAGAAAAGAGGAATCAAACAAGGTTGCCCCATCAGCCCAATCTTGTTTGTTATCATGTTGCATCACGTACTTGTCACGATGAAGGAATTTATCCCAGAACTAAATATGGAGCATATAGAGAGTATCGTACTACCGCTCATTCTGGCATATGCTGATGACCTCCTGTTTTTGTGTGAAAATATTGACGAAGTCGAACATCTGCTATCTGTATTGGAATCATTATTAGCATCGATTGGTTTGGAAATAAATACCTCCAAAACCAAAGTACTGAGGGACCCGTACAATATAAGGAACGTTAACCCAGACCAGACATATGATTTTGGAAAATACAAACTAACCCTAGTAACGAAACTGACATACCTGGGAGCAACGATTACCAGCAGTCTAACCCGGAAACAGACAACATCAGATCGAATAAAGAAAGCATACAAAGCCTTCCATACACTATGCGGTTTTTTGCGGCAACACCCAGTAAGATGGCCTGTGGTAAAGAAACTGTATCACGCTTTGATAACGCCGGTAGTGACGTATTCAATGGAAGTGGCAACGGTACTCAAAAGTAATAGGAACTCCCTCCGTAGAATGGAGAGCACGATGTTGTCTACACTAAAAAGATTGAGCAGGAGTAATGCAGGGTCTCGTGAAGGAGAAGAATCTGAAAACATGGAACAGTCACAGCAGCAACAACCACAAGAACAACAATTAGTCAATGTAGAGACTTCACCGAACAATGAACAGTCTGATTAACAGTATATAGCTGTACGGGAGTTGGAAGGAAGAACCATAAACAATAAAATCAGGGTTTCTCGTCTAAACTTTTATGGACACGTCGTTAGAAGCGCACCTCAGGGGATTATCAGG